ATTTTCATTCCATTCCATTCTCTATTTTATATTCTATTCTATTCTACTCTACTCCTGAATTCTATTCTCATTCCATTCCATTCTCTATTTTATATTCTATTCTATTCTACTCTACTCCTGAATTCTATTCTCATTCCATTCCATTCTCTATTTTATATTCTATTCTAATCTATTCTATTCTACTCCTGAATTCTATTCTATTCTATTTTCATTCCATTCCATTCCCTATTTTATATTCTGTGTTCATTCTATTCTACTCTACTCCTGAATTCTATTCTATTCTATTTTTATTCCATTCCATTCCCTATTTTCTATTCTATTCTATTCTACTCTACTCCTGAATTCTATTCTATTTTCATTCCATTCCATTCTCTGTTTTCTATTCTATTCTATTCTATTCCTGAATTCTATTCTATTCTATTTTCATTCCATTCCCTATTTTATATTCTGTATTCATTCTATTCTATTCTGTTCTACTCCTGAATTCTATTCTATTCTATTCTATTTTCATTCCATTCTCTATATTCTATTCTATTCTATTCTACTCTACTCCTGAATTCTATTCTATTCTATTTTCATTTCATTCTCTTCTCTTTTCATTCCGTTCCATTCTCTATTTTCTTTTCTTTTCTTTGCTATTCTATTCTTATTCTATTCTGTAAAACCTCTCCTTGTGTTTGCAACGACGTGATTGCAGAGATCACCTCTTTGCAGGTAAGAAAAATTCCTTCCAGAACCTTTTTAACCAACATTCCATGAAAGACAATTTCACCTTCACAATTAAAGGATAAGAATGTTCTCATTATACTGTAACGGCAAGCATAATTGATCCGCTTAGTCACTGGCTCGGCTTCCTTGCACAGATTCAAATCACCGACAAAAATCGTAGATAATTCAACCTTGAAGAGGGAGGCAGGGGTCACAATTCTCATCAAAGGTATTTTGCTACGTGGCATTTAAAAAAAAAAAACCACCGTCTTTATTAAAGACATCAAGTGTGGAGAACGGGGTTTTTGATGCAGCTGATGAAATTAAAGAATGGAGCCAAGAAAAAAAAAATGGATGGAAACTAATCAAGGAGGGAGGCAACCTGGAATTAAGGAGAAACTTCCTAAGCACAATTAACCAGTGGAACAGCTTGCCACCAGAATCTGTGGGTGCTCCCACACTGGAGGTCTTTAAGGAGAGAGGGGATAACCATTTGTCTGAACGGAGATGGGGGTCTCCTGCTTGAGCAGGGGATTGGACTAGAAGACCTCCAAGGTCCCTTCCGGCTCTATTCTGATTGATTGAGCCTGTCCTTCTTTTATTTGAATCAATCCTTGCTTTTCCAGCATTTAGGATCCTACCCAGCCTGTCGGAGAGTAGCCAAAAGGGCCAGATATTTTCTTCCTTCCTGTGAAACTCAGCTAAAGCTTCATACATACACCCTTTAAACTCTTCACGCCACCATTTACCTGGGGATTTATGTCAGAGATTGTTGCAGAAAAATCAAATCCAGAAAGCACACGCAGATAACTGATTCAGCTGGATTCATTAACTTCTTTATATACATAAAAATAGATGAATCAATGTACAATACCAACAGGTGATTCTTCCAAGTAAACACAAGGCAGGAGAGTTGCAGGCAAACACAAGCAGTTAGTTTCACATTAGCAGACAAGCCCAGGCAGAGTACTAGTTTACTTCTCAGAGCAGCAGACTGCTTAAGTTT